CCAAACAGTGGGAAAGTGTAGACCCCTGGCACCACGTGGAAGAGAGCTACCCAGGTGCCTCCTAACCCACGTCTGGCCAAGATGAAGCAATGACCCTGAGCCGGCAGTCCTTGAGGGCAATGAGGGCTACCCTGACTTCCAAGACTGAGTCTCCACCTTTCTTCAACTCCCGCAGCCTTCCAACAAGTTCCTTTTTGGCTGAAGTCAGCCGGTGCCTATCTCTGCTGCTTTTAAGCATAGCCCCCAAGGAAATATCATTAGTAATAATTTAAATAACCAAAGAATTCCACGTGGGGTGCCAGGAGGAAATGGTGGAAGTGAGTAGGCAGCAAGTCCCGACCTCCTCACAACCGGGAAAGAAGGCAGAATCAGGACTTTACTGTGGGTTTATACCGGGATTTGAGGAACTGCAAAGAACAACTGGAACAAGTTTTGGTCTTAAGGGTGACTAGGCCGAGCTTGGCTCAGAGGTGACTACAGTAAGGAGGGCTCAGTGTATCTCTTCAAGTGGTGCAGACACTGGGATCAGCAGAGGTCACACTGAAAATATCCTTATCCGGATGCCCAGTCAACCCAGGGCTCTTAAGAAAAAGAAGCTCACAAAGTTGTTCTTCACTTAGAAGAAGGTCTCAACTCTACTGATCGATGGGTAGACATATGCACAATCTGAAAGGGCAGGGAACAAACTGTCCCCCCCGACAGTGGCTGGAAGGAGCAGCCACCCTGGTTCTTGGAGATGATTGCAAAACAGGGAGCAGAGAACTGATTGGATTTCAGATGCATTAGTGACGAAAGAGACAAACTACAGAGACAAACTAGATGCAAAGTTGAGGAGAATTTAGTCTCCTGAGTATATTCCCAAAGGTGAGGCTGGAAAGCTGATGGGCAAGACCGGGAGGTGTCATACAGGTAACACTCAGATGTTTGGACTTTGCCGGGGGTGGTGGCGCACACCTGTCACCCCAGCGGCTCCTGAGGCAGGAGGATCCCAACAACCAAGGAGCTGTGACCAGTGAGGAGACACCAGCCACCTCCCAGGAGGCTGTCGACGTCTATGGAGTGGACTCTTCATGGTCAGCATGCACATGCTCAGCACTGACTCTTGGAGGCACAAGGTGAGCACAGCTCTGGGGCCTGCCCGTTCCCATGTAAGACACAGGCCCCACAGCGCCTTCATTCTTGGCGCCTGGCTAGGCAACGTGGAGAGGGAAGCGCAGGAACTGGTGCTGGCCTTGGAAGCACTCAGAGTCAGGGTGCTTCTGGTGCTGTGGGGGAAACCAAGGCAAGACACACCCAGAGCCAAGGGACCACTCTCAGAGCGAGACTGGAACCCGAGACCAGCGGGTACTGTCCTGGACCGCCACCCTGTCAGCTCTGTGGCGCACTCGGCCCTCCTGCCCATTGTTACTGGAACCTGTTACTCTGATCCTACCTCCCACTGAGGTCCAGGCCTGCTTTCCAAGTGTCAGTGAGACCCCACCACTGTGGTGTCCCATGGCTTCTTAGGGGATGTGTCCTAAGCCCCACTCATTCTCCTGCCTCTTAACCTGCTTTTCCACTGCCCTCCTTCTCACGTCGTGGCCAGCTGTGGCTCAGCAAGGTGGAAACGTGTCCCCTGTCTGACCCATCCCTCCTCATTTCCCTTTATACATCACTCACCCAGATCCTCTGCATGCCTCTCAGGAATGTTCTAGGTTGCCTGTCCTCAGTTCCCCACGGGTTCAGAAGCCCACACTTTTCACCTGTGCCACGGCAGCAGCCCCGGTCTTGCTCCTCTGCTTGGACCTCTCTCTGCGGCATCGCTTACCTGCCTGCTGGGCACCTTTCTGATTCTGAGACCTAACTTCACTGTTCTGTTAGGGTTTCTTCACTGGCTCTCAGAGTCTTCAGGATGAAATCCAAACCTCTTTGGTACCAAGGATTGAACCCAGGGGCACTTAACCACTGAACCACATCCCCAGCCCCTTTTTAGTTTTATTTAGAAACAGGGTCTGCCGAGTTGCTTAGGGCCTCACTAATTTGCTAAGGCTGGCTTTTAACTCATGATCCTCCTGCCTCAGGAGCCGCTGGGGTGACAGGTGTGTGCCACCACCCCCGGCAAAGTCGGCAAAGTCCAAACATCTGAGTGTTACCTGTATGACACCTCCCGGTCTTGCCCATCAGCTTTCCAGCCTCACCTTTGGGAATATACTCAGGAGACTAAATTCTCCTCACCTTTTGCATCCAGTTTTTTGTCTCTGTAGTTTGTCTCTTTCGTCACTAATGCATCCGAAATCCAATCAGTTCTCTGCTCCCTGTTTTGCAATCATCTCCAAGAACCAGGGTGGCTGCTCCTTCCAGCCACTGCCAGGTGTTTCTTTTGTACACCCTGTGAGACCAGTCCTGCTAGCCTGACCTGTCAGCCAGGCCACACATCCTCCTGGCTCTCGAGCATAGGCCACAGCATCCTCCCTCTGGTCCCTGCCAGTGAGCATCACCCGCTCTGTTCTGAAACCCTGTGCATCTCTGTAAAGAGGAAGGATTTCCTGGGGGTCACCTTCTTATTTACCAGCAAATCTGTTTTTTACTTCTTAACCCAACAGTTTAGAATTGCAAATAAAGCTCACAAGTAATTAGGCTGAGTGGGTATTCCTCTCCATAGTGCCCACTGCTGCCAAGATGCTCGATCCAGGTACAGATGTCTCCAGGTGCTGCCGGGCCTTCTTCCCCTGAGGCTGACCCTCCCTGAACCCCGACTCTTGGCTTCTTCTGCCCAGCCAGGTAGTGTGCTGCCAGCCCCTCCTGTACAACGTCACTTCAAATATGGGGAGACATCTTCCACGGTCCCCACTCTGAGTCCTCTACACTGGAACACATCCTCCAAGCACTCCTCACAAAATTCAGTGACCGACAGAACTAGTGACTCATGGACGTGGTCGTTGGTCAACCATGGACCCCTGTTATCTTCCCACTGATGTTTCCATTTCCTTAGTGGCTGGCCTCAGAAATGAGGTCACTCTCCTGGTCTCAAAAGAACACACCTATCAAAGAGGCCTGCGGGATACAACAACCAAACAACTAGGATGTTCAAAACTGGGACAGTGTTTTGAAATTTTTCACAAAGGAGTATCAAGGCCAACAAGGCTCAGTTTTGCGTTCGGTACTTTATGCACCCAGAAAATGTTCGCAGATTGCCAACTAACCCTCTAAATGGGTAACCTGAGTCGTGCTGCCCTAACATTCCCATGGCCCATCAATCCCACTTGAGCGTTCTCACGTGGCCACGCAGAGCCATGCGGTTCCGCCCCCCAGCCCTTGCCCGGGTCTGCTCAGCTGGGCTGCTTTTCCTGCCATGAACTTTGATTGGCAGCTTCTCCAGTTTCCCCTCAAGATTCTGTTCAGAGTAAGCACTGATTTCTGTCCTTCATCTTGCCTCCTGCCATTGGTGACCATGCTCTTCTGAGCCTTGCTCTCACCCACCAGTTGTGGGTCCCTTTGGCCCTGAGAACAGCATCCTTGACCCCAGTTGCTTCGTGTGCTGTGATGTGGAGGAATGCTCCCACCCACTCCAGCACGAATTCAGAGGACCGCTTCCCCTCAGTTCATTTCCCTGTGTGCAGAACAACTGGGACCAATGTTTTCAAGTGGTTTTTACCTGTGGCCTCGTTCTCCTTCACAGTCAATTACTTCTCTGCAAATGGCCGCCTGGTCAAATAACTGTGCTCCCAATTAGCTAATTGCAGGCTCAATGAGCCACTTGTTCCTCCAAACTTGGCTATTAGAGTTGTGTGATTAAGCAAAAATTAATCTTCTTTATTCCCTTCTGATTCATGGAGCCACAGCAGATCTCAAATTCAGCCTCCTGTGTTCTTTTGCAACATTAATACAAGCCTTTCGGTTTTTATTTCCTTTTGAAAGGAAATAAAAAAGTCTCAGCAGTTATGCTTTGTATTTTGGGCCCCAAGATTAAGTCAGCCTTCTAGCAAGGTGCCCAACGTTACCTTTAGTCCAATTTGTAAAATGCACACTAAGGCTTCAGAACAATTGTTTTGCCAAAGTTATGCGATTAAAACTACGGTTAGACATTCTAAGTAGAAGATGCCACTTTATTTCTGGCAATTCAGGTTCCCACAAAGGGTAAAAATCAATCTTCAACCTCGACTGCTTTTAAAACAAGGCGCCTTTACCCATTCTCCAAATCGCTGTCACTTGATGTCTTGGAAGCTACAAAAAATGTAATTTATTCTGAAAAATTGCTTCAAGTGGATGTCTTCAATCACCCCTTCTCCTACACTTGAGGCAGTTTCTGCATGCTTTTTTCTAATTTTCTTATTCAGCCAACATCTATAGAACACAAAACATGCACTCAGTTTTCAGTGTCAACAGGAGGTCATTTCTGGAACAGGCGCATTCCTTGACTCCACAGAGAAGGAGCCACCAATCAGGAGGAGCCTTCCGTGACAAAGAGACTGACAGTAATGAGGATTGAATCTATGTGCTTTAGTCACTCAGACCCCTTTAGGTTTCCAGAATTCGCCTTCCAATTAAACACGAGGACATCTCCCAAACAGTTCTGGGTGTGGTGCACCGTCTGCTAGGGGACTCTGGTTTACAGCCACCTCGTCTGTGACTGTCTTCAGGAGAGGGAGCGAGTGGGAAGGACCCTGAGGTCACTAGAGCCACTCACACACCAAGGGATTCTAACTCTCCTTGGTGTCTGCGCTGCTTCAACACTTCACTGATGAAGGGCCAAGTCAAGAGTAACAGCGAAGTCCAGGTTAAAGGGAAAGTGGAAAGGAGGAGGGAAGGAAGCGAGGAGAAAACACTGGGCCGAGGCTGACCAGGGCTGCAGCCTCCAGGAAGCAAGACATCCATAAAGCTGCTGCTCCCAGGCGCGTCGTCCAAAGCAGGCTGGTCTGAGCACCAACCAGAAAGGCTGCATGCAAGCCACCAACATGCTCAGGCAGAGACGTGAGCACAGGACAGTGTCCAGGCGAACCCGGGCCTTGGTGGTCACTTACCCAACACCAGCAGCTCCACCGAGTCCTCGTTCTTGCCCTCCAGGTCATCGGGGGTGGTGATGACACAGTAATAGAGGCCACTGTCACCCCACATGAGCTTTCCAATTTGAAGATCTGCATCTGTCACGAAAGAAGGACCCAGTTCTCAAACTCTGTCCTCAGCAAGAAAAGCACTGAGCAGCTGGGGACGGGAGAGGCGTCTGCAGTGTTCTCTGAATCTGCCTGGATGGCGATTGAAAGACGTTCCTTTATTTAAAACAAAACCAACAAAACAACAGCAAAAACTGGCCTCCCTCAGGTGAGAACTAGAGATGGTGCAGTCGCGTCTCGTTCCAGCTGTGGGAGGCAGGCCTCCACCCAGGCCTGCAGAGGCCCCGAGAGACGGACAAGTTCCAGAATAACCCTGGACTCCTAGAAATCAGCTGATTTCACAGGAATTCTCCACAGTTTGAATAATCAAACAGCTTGTATTGGACTCCTGGAACTTTTTTTTTTAATCCCAAAACTTAGGGAGCAGGAGACAGGGTGGAATTGATACAGAAACCCACGGGGCTCAGGCCTCACATCCGCCTGGCTCTGCAACCTGTGTGTGACCTCCCTTCTCCCTGGGGACGGGGTTCTTAGCAAAGTCTGCTTCCCAGGCTGGGAAAGGGCCAAAGAGGCGCTGTCAAGGCTGAGGACCTGGGACGGAAGTTCCTTCACTGGAACCTACTCTGACTCAGCTCCGAACCTAAGCACTGTCCTCCGCGGGCCTCTGTGCTCTCGGGAGGCCGCACTCACCCGCCTACGCCCAGCCACTTTCCCCTAGAGCAATCTGCTGGGTCTCCTCATGCTCCCTCCCACCTCCTATGAAGTGGGATCTCAGGGGCTGAAAGAGTGAGAGGCTGGTGTCCCCTTGTGTCGGCGGAGAATGCAACTGACCTCCCTCCCTTTTCCTAGAGTCCAGAGAAGGGCATCCGTACCGTGAACAATGGTGATCTCTCTGCCCCTGTAGAAGTCTCCCAGGGTGACAGTGGAGCCCTGTTTTGAAGCCACCACTCGGACTGTCCTCCTGCTGTCTAAACAGTCCAAGTAGGGGTCCCATTCCAGGTTCCTCTTGCTGAGTGACTGGGCCCGAGGGGAGGACATGCCCAAGGACTCCCCGACGCGATCCTGGCAGTAGGACTTGAACTTCCACTGCACGACGGCAGGCCGATGGGAGGAGGTGGAGAAGTGGCAGCGAAGCACCGCGGGCTGGAAGAGCATGGCCACCTTCCTCTTGTCGGGCACTGTCACCTGGAGGCCTTCGGCCACAGCTGCAAARCAGAACACGCATGTCCACACAGGGCCACAGCCCGGCCGCCCACCACCGCCTTCCCACTTTACTGCCCCAACCGTTCCGGCCATCTTCTCCATCGGAATTGATGGCATCCAGGTCCACCTGGTGGTCTTTCCCAGACACCTACTTCACTCCCTAGGTCCAGTCGGTYGCTGAGTCTAGCCATCGTGATCTGTTAACATTGTTAAGGTTGCCCCTCTCCTCTTTAACCTCACTCCCATGCTCTTGCTTGGGCCTCTGTTTCTTGCCTAGAAGATGATGAAAACCTCYGTCAGATCTCCCTGCATCCCCCTGTCAACATCCGGACCGTCCTCCTTGCTAAAACTCAGGTGACCTTTCTAAATCTGACAGTTGGTTCTCTTAGAAACGCTCCACCCCTCCTCTAGGACCTCGAGGACCCTCAGCAAAGCATCTGAGGTGCTCCCCACCTGCTTCCTCTTCCCCTTTCAGCCTCAGCTCTTTGAAGCACCTCTACTTTGGCACCAGGCTCCAGGAGTATCCATCAAATGCCTATCAGTTTTCCCGACGGGACGAACCATCTCACACCTCCAGGCCTGGACACACGGTGTTCCCTGCTTCTGGAATGCCTTCCCACTTTCTTGGGAAACTCTTCTGCATCTTTCAAAACCCAGCTCAAAGGCTTCTTGACCAACCCAGTTTGTCACGTCCTCCTTTGTGCCAYTGGAATATCCAGCATTCTCTTCTAGACATTTATCACAATAATTTTGCCATTATTTATTTTCATTCCCTTTCAGGTAAGAAGGGTGATTACCTTGCTGGCTTATGAAGCCCACAGATACTCAACATMGGTTCCACAAGTAGTGAAAAACAAGCCAGGAAGTGTGACTTGAAGAGGAGGTGACTTCCCTTCCTGATGGTGACCAAGTAAAGCSGACAGAGATGAAGGAGAAGAGAAGTCTTTATTCCAGATCAAAGGCAGTAGACTAAGTCCAAAAGCTCTGAAGGGTAGCCAAAAGAAGAACTAAAAAGCAGAAGTTTAAGTGGCAAAAAGATCCAACCTGAGGCTTGGTGACTAAGCAAGATGGGAACACTGGTGAGTGAGAGATCAGCAGAGTGTCCGGGAGACCTTGCAGGGCCACTATGAACCTGACCATAGGATTTAGACATCCCAGGCTACAAGACCAGAAGGTTCCCAGGWGTGTGGGAGAGTTTCCAGCTTGGGAACATCTGTTAGAAGCAGAAATCGAAATATGACGAGAGGCAGAAAAATGGGATCCGAAGACAGAGGGACGAGGTTCCGAAGTGGACGCAGGCACCCAAGGCAGAGTCTTGCCCTAGACCTGCAGTGGGGACCTAGGACACCGAGCAAGGTCTGCTGTCTCAGGTGCCTTGTGTCCTGGCCCACGATGACATCCCACAAAGCCACTCCTTCACTGAGGCTCCCTCCACCAGGGCAAGATAACACGTCTCAGGTCTTTTGATTTCCAGCCCAGAGTTTCTCTTCAATGAAAAGCACAACGAGAACCTAGATTCTAATTCCCCTTCGAGAATGGCTTCTCCATTCCATGCAACCGGGAAGTGAACACAAGAAGGATTTGAGATGTATCAGATCTCAGCCTTCTGTACCTACCAGGTGCTCTACAGCTACCTGTGACTGCCCGGGGAACGGATGAGCCCATGGGTGACTGCGACCGGAGCATGTCCAGGACTCTCCGGGGAAGCTGGTTCATGAGTCACCACCGTGGAGTAGAGTAAAGAGCGTGGGCAGCAGAGGCGGGGCTCCCACCGTCTCCTGGCCAKGTGCTAGTCCTGAGGCCCTGGTGGTGTCCACAGAGCAATCTGAGACTCGTGATCACCATCATGCCCACCCCCAGGTCGTTAGCAGATGTGACCTCATCAGGCAACTCCATAGAGTGGACTCCACAGAGGGCGCTGACCCGGGTAGCAGGCAGAAGAGAGTGTACCCTGCCTCACCTCCCCACCTCCCGTTCTGAAGCTCCTGCAGCCCAAAGACCACCCACCACCACCAGCTGAGATTATAGGCACATTAAACAGATGGGAAACTCGTCCCCACGCTCCCCTTCACACCCCCAGATGTTGTGGTCTGATTCTGCTCTTCCTGACTCACAAGGCTGCATTGGGAAAACACACGTCTGCACGGTTTCTCCTTAAATTCTACTGCACTGATTTTTACACTGATTTTCAGTCTTGTGATTCTTCTTCAAATATTTATTCACAGCCCAATTTTTCAGATGATAAAAAGGAACAGGAAGGTGAAGTGACTTCAGTCAGAGCAGTTGGGCTGGATGATCAGTCACAGGCACTGTCCCGGGGACACTCTGTACTTGGCCATTTCCCTTCTGTTCCGCTCCCTACGAGGCTCCATGGGTAAAGCAGAGTTCTTAGGCTTCCCAGGACAAATCAACCAGCAAAGGAGACAGGTGCCCCATACAGTATGTGGTGGTGGGGGGGGGTTAATGTTCTTCATCATTCATTTATTTATGTTGAGAACGAGAGTGGAGTTGGGGTTTTGTTCATTAAATGACTATGAAGAATAGCCTCCTCCCTGGCTATGTTCTCTGTGAAGGAGATTAGGCATTGAGCAAGCAAGCCACTGGACTCTCTCAACCAATTATTAACTAGCGTTAGTCAGTCCTCAGCCTCTTCCATGACAGACACAGACTTGCGCTCCCAAGAATAAGGACTGCTTCCTCAGCAACCTTTGCTTTTTCACAGCATGACAGTTAAAGGTGCAGACTCTGGRGTCAGGCCTGGATGAGAGCCCAGGCCTTACCACTCCAGCCTATGTCCATCCACCTTATAAGGTATCAGCCTCAGGCTGACTGGTCAACTCAGGAGGGAAACCAGAATGACAGTTACACCTTGTGGAGTCGTCTGAGGGTTAAACGACATGCTATCTTAGATACTTAGGAGAATGCCTGGTATACAGTAAGGACTCAATAAATCTGGTGGCTGCCGAGTTGCTGTGGCTGTCAAGAGTAGCCTCTGACTTCCATGAAGCTGTGAACCCAGAGCGGGGCAAGCAAGCTGCCCAGGTGAGACGGGAAGTGTGAACGGGGCGGGACGGGCAGTTACGGCCCAGCAACGCTGGACCTCGTCATTAGGAGTGGACGACGGGGACAGTGTCCCGCTGTGCTTTGCAGCGCACACTGCTCAGGCACCCCGGAAACCAGGGAGAGTGYCCTGTGTGTGTATGTGTGCGTACGGGCACAGACACGTATGTGAACACGCGTGCGCACTTGTACAAATGGACTACACCAAGGAGCGATCTGAAAAGCTGGAGAACAGGGCTAGGGATTCAGTAAATGACAGCTTATTGGATCTGGGAGGACCACAGAGTGGAGACCAAGCTAAAACTGCCAATCCCCACCTGGTGCTTCAGGTCTCAAACTGTAAGACCAACCAATCCTAAGCCTGCCAACCGAGCTTACCACGAACCCCATCCCCTTGAGACTTGTGTTCCTCCTAGTACCGTGAGTGACATAATGCCCTCTCCCCACAGGGGCACTGTGACAGGACAGTGGACGAGGGTGCTAGCCTGCCTGGCCTCCGCCTCCCCACCTCCCACTCTAGCATGGGGCTGGAATGGCTCTGGCCCTGCCCTGACTCGTGGTGAGAGACCCCAAGCAGCACCTCTTTCCTGCACCTCTGTCCACCTTACATGGAGCTGCTTCCCCTTGGTGTCCTGATGTGCCACTCCATCCCCCAATGGGACAGAGCCTTGCCCTGAACACCAGCCTGCTTTCCTGGGGCCCTGGACCCGCCCCTCTCCTGAAGGTTGGATATTGCTTCCTGTAGGCCTCATGCAGGACTGACCCAACTTCAGTGCTGTTTTCCACCCGACTCGGGGGACTTCTGCCCCTTCACAGACCTGGCTCTGCAGGGGTGGGGGCTGACTGGAATGAGGATTTCCAGTCTCCAGGGACACTCAGGGTTGACTTGGAGACACCCTCTCTCTGGCTCCCATTCCCAAGAGATCTGCCCTGGGACTGGGTCAGTGTGCTGAGCTGGGTCCTAACTCTTTACAGCTTTTAAAATATATTTTTTCCCTATTCCAATTCTTTCCAGAAGCAAAAAATGTAATACTTCTTATGCTTGAAACTATACAGGCTGATACAAAAGCATAACCACCACTGAAGGCCAGAGAGATGGATTTAAAAGTTTCTGCCTCTTTGTTAGGCCAAGCTGCTCATCGGATCTAAGAAGCTGTGTCCATCCCTGTGGTTCCAACTACCAGCTTTGACCCACACCTCAAGTCCCTTAAGCCTCGTTGGTTTGTCGACAAGTGCTTCAAGAGGAACATGGGTAAGCCTCACTGATCATCTCTCTCCACCCAGCTCTTGTTCAGGAGCTCCGTGCCTCGTCCTGAGCTCTTTGGCCTATTTCCATTTACCCTGCGACCCAGATAAATCTGGCCTGGACAATCTCCATCTGACTATATTCAGGTGGTCACCAAGTCTCAGGCGCTCTTGAGCCATCCTTCCCTGTCCCACTGTCACTCCCTTAAATCAGGTTCCTATTTTCTCTTCCTTGACAACAGTTGTCAGCACTTAACGGGTGTCTGAGATTGTGCTAAACTTCTCATTTGTTTTCTTTTATTTCAGTGCTGGGGACAGAACCCAGGGCCTTGCCCGTGCGCGTCACACTACATCTTCGTGAATTCTCTGAACAGTCCTGTAAAGTAGGCCCTGCGTGTTACAGATGGAGACACCGAGGTCAGCACATGTGTCTGTCCTGCCTAGCAGCTCAGGGCAGCAGGTGGCAGGCTGGAATCCCGGCTGACGGGCTCCAAAGCCTCCTCCTCACCTCACAGTCCATCACCACCAGTGCTTTCCTGTCTACTTCCAGGCTAGGCCACTGTCCGCATGTTTCCAGAGTCTTCTTCTGAAAGCACACATCGTCCAATCATGTCAGTTCAGTTTCTTGCCTTAAGGTCTCACTGACTCCCCAGTTCCTCCAGGATAAAACCCACACACCTTGACCAGGCTCACGTGG